CCGGGCCGGCCGCACCGGAAATAGCCCCTCCCACACCGGAAATAGCCCCTCCCAAATTTTACTTGCATTCCTGTTCTCTAAAGGGGCGGTCCTAGGGTTTGATGAGGGCGTGGCCAGGTTTGAGTTCCGCCACCTTTTCTCCGAGAAAAAAAGCCCTGCCCTTCTTATGGTAATGGCATAAACCTGCCTGCCCTAACCTTGGTTTCAGAATGCCCGAGAGAATCGGGGAAGACAGCTTATACGGCGATCCTAAATATATGCGGAAAGACTTAAGTGTCAGAGAACGTCGGGATGGGGCCTTCCATCATTTGCTGCAATTAACCCATTACTCCGCCCTCTCCATCCGCTCCCCCTTACCTACCCAGGGGTAACTTTGGGATAAAATCCCAGAATTCTGCAGAATCCTTCCACTAAAAGCTCCGCCCCGTTGGGGGGAAGAGCCTGAAATTAACTCTTTCTTCTCGGCAAATCAATTTTCCAATGCCAATTATTTTTCTCCTTTATTTTTTCAATGGACACTTACTCCCCAGTCCTTCACTCAGAAAGATTCCTTGAGCCGCTTTGCAAAGACCAGCTCTCCTTGTATTGAAGCTTAAGGATACGAGACACAAGGAAAAAGTTCGGGAGGGAAGAGGAAAACGAATAATTTCGTGGCTGAAGTCACTTCCGGACTTAAGCCGCATGAGCAAGTGAATGTCTGCGCATGTGCAGAATGCTCCACCGCTTAAGTATTTCACCACTAAATAGTAATGGAAATAGACCCAGTAATAATAAGTGGCGTCTGCTTAGTTGCTCCAATGAATAAAAATCCTTCTTGGAAAAAGAAGGCTAGTCCTGCACGACACTTTCCTCTAATTGCAACCTTGTGCATAGGAGTAGGCAATCGGTTGTCGCCGGAGGATTTGGATTACAATTCCCATAGCATCTGACAAAAGGGAATACCGGATGGGGATTATTGAAATAACAAAATTACTGGTGGACCCCGGCTTCTCTGTGATATCTGTGCAGTGAATCATATGGCACTAATGAGCAAATTTCCAAATGGAGGTTGCTCAGGGCAACGCTGGATTGGATGATGTGCAAAGTGCAAGACTTAAGGTTTTTCTTGCTCCGGAGATATTATTCTGCTTTCCCCCCTCATTTAATATTTCTTTAAATTGGCTTCCCAGTACATTTTTCGTGCCTTTTCTGCCTCAAAATGGCATGAAATGCCACATTACTAATTTTGGGGACACTGTTTTAAAGGGTGCAAAGAACACGTTCAGAAGCCACAAAGGCTGTGCAAGAATAGTCTTTAATGACAGGCTAAGCATCACTTTTCAGAATCACAAATTAAAACATTTGTTTATCCTTTGCTTAAAAATCTGTTTCTCAACTTTGACAGCTTTAAGCTCTGTGGATTTCAACTCCCATAATTCCCCAGCCAGCATGCTGGAGTTATTGGTCTCCAAGTTGCACCTGTCATTCTATTTGAAGTCTTTGGTTTAATTGAAATATGGTAAATCAATAAGATTGCAAGGATTTTTTCCCCCAGAATAACAGAGTTGGAAGGGACCTTGGAGGTCTTCTGGTCTAATCCCCTGCTCAGGCAGAAAATCCTGGCCTATATCATTTTACACAAATGGCTTTCCAGTCTCTTTTTAAAAGCCTCCAGTGATGAAGCACCCACAACTTCTGAAGGCAAGCCATTCCACTGATTAATTGTTCTAACTGTCAGGAAATTTGTCCTTAGTCCTAAGTTGGTTCTCTCATTGATTAGTTTCCATCTGTTGCTTCTTTTCTTGTTTTCTGGTGTTTTGGAAAATAGGTTGATCCCCTTTTCTTTGTGGCAACCTCTCAAATATTGGAAGACTGCTATCATGTCACCCTGATCCTTCTTTTCACTAGACTAGACATACCTAATTCCTGCAACAGTTCTTCATATGTTTTGGCCCCTAATACTCTTTTCTGCACTCTTTCCAGAGTCTCAACATCTTTTTTATAATTGATGACCAAAACTGAATACAGTATTCAGTTTCCACCAATGCATTTCATACAAACCTGTTACATAATTTTCACTCCCCATTTTTTAGAATAGAAGAATGGAGAAGGCTCTTAATTATTTCATGGATTATCTCTGATTACAGGCAATAGAAACTTATTTGGGATGTGACTGATATTTGTGCTAGCAATCGTTTTCCATTAAATTAATCATTTTGCAATAAATTCTCAACCGGTACATGTGTCTAGCCACTGATATAATATCTGTGCTTAACTTTGTCATGCTTCATCTCTAATTTTCAGGTCAGAAATATTAGTAACTTAATATATTTTCTGAGTTCAGAGTAGCATTTCTGCAGCCTGTGCAGGTGTTTGCTTTTTAATCTAAAAATCAGGCTCATTACTTGTCCCAAACAACATAGCTACTGAGAATCATCTAGTAAGAACTATTAAGCCATACAATTGTAGTCTAGGAATATTCTACTAAAGAACACATCATTGCAGAAATCACAGTAAGAATATGTTTCATGTTTTTCTTACAAGCTGCATTTTTTTCTATGTGCAAAACAATGGGAGGGGGGTGAACCTTCAAGTATAATACACAGAAAAAAATATATTGGCAAAAGCTACAGTGAACAACTGAATTTTACTTATTGGATTTGCAGCATGAATTGCAATAAGCTAATCTATGACTGAATTTTACTTATTGGATTTGCAGCATGAATTGCAATAAGCTAATCTATGACTAGTTGATTTAATTTGATTTTAGAACAGAAATCTGCGTATATTTATCATGGTTTTTATTATCGCCTGTTCACCGCCCTGAGTCCCGTAAGGGAGATAGGGCGGTATATAAATTCAATAAATAAATAAATAAACAAACCATGTTTTACTGAGTTTGTTTCAGTTGCTTTGATTCACACATCACATTGCACTGCAAAGTACTGTATTGTACTAAAGTACTGTAACCATTATAAGCTAAATATATTCAGCACATTGAGCCACAAAGTAGCCAAGCACATTTTAGAAAGTATATTTGAACTCCCTACCTCAATTAAAAGCAGCATTACATTTTCACCATCCTGAATTCTTTTTATTCCTAAAGTAATTCTGTTCTCTAAATTTGGCTACTGGCTATTTTCTTGGATTTGGGGGTGATAAACCTTGCTACTTTTTTTACCTGGATAAGATCCTACTTGACAGCCAGATGTCTTTCAGGAGTATAATATGCACATCAACTTTCTGAAATTCCCAATCTGAACCTGCAGCTCTAAGTGTTGCTTGTAGAAATGAAATTTCAAAAGGTGATGGAAAAACTTGCTTTGTATCTCTATCTTTGGTTTCTATAGAAGACTATTTAAGGACCTGGCAAAACTATCCATCTATGTACACAATGCACAAACACATTTATGTGAACACTGGCAGTTGCATAACTGAGTAAAACAGAAAGCATAAATTAACTACTGTAATAAGGTTTATAAAACCAAAAATTATTAATAGATGGGTTACTGTGCAAAGAGCTTAATCTATCTGATTAACAGACATGGGAAAGTATGCATATATTCTATCGTAGTGTTTCTTAATGTTTGGACAAGACTGTGGAGTAATTGAATTATTGATGTGGTTCAAATGGAAAGTATTTGTGTGGTTACAGTACTTTGTCTGTTAAGCAACTAAGTGTAGCTTCAGTTAGTAACTGTGGCAAGTAACTATGCCATTTACATTAGAAGTGAAAAATATGAACAGAAAAAAAACCCCATTGAAATCCATCATATATCGAGTTCATTCATAATATATGATGTTGGTGGGGCAAACACACCTAACAGAAATTTACTGTAGAAAGCAAGGAAGGTGATGCTGATAAGAGATATGCAGGAACTGTTATGTAAATAAAAATGGGTAGAAGAATTTTTAAGTCCGGAATAGTCAGATGACATTCAGAAGTGACTCAGGCAGACATTTCCCCAATTGACTGAACTATAAGGAGAAAGGGGAGAACCAGCACCATCAGACTTGCAAGACTGGGTTATTGTAGCCAATCTCAATAAAAGCAGTTTTAGCCTGCCTATGGAATTGATTTCCTGGTCTGGTCCATCTGGGCCAACACATTTAATGATTAAAATGTATTTTAGAACAATGCTGGGGAGTCTGCAGGCTGTGGTAAAAAAAACCCCCTCAAAACAGTACCCAACATTGGAAAAATGAAAATTTACCAGCCGAAGAACTACTAATTAAGAAAATTTTAGAGTGTGCAGAAATGAATAGATTGACTTTAAAGATAAAAGAGAAAGAAGACTCAGTGTATTTTAGAACATGGGATAATTTCTATCAATGGCTAGAAAAACGAGTTAGAAAGGAATGTGATATGTAACTTTGAATATATATTAGCAAGAAGAAGACTATTGAGCGATTAATTAACATATTTATGATAATTAACTATTATCTATTCTTGTTTGTTAAATACATGAACCCAGATATTATGCTGTTTGCTAAATATTGAGAATGTTATTTGGAAAAACCCCAACCCAAATCCCAACCCCAACCCCACCTTATTCCTAACCCTATAAAAACAAATAAAATTTAAGCAGGAAAACTCAAAATAGTAGACATGAGGATGCAACTGAACCTCCATCTGTTTTTTATGTATGTTGTGTAAAAACACAAGTGAAGTACATGTAACACACATTAAAAAATGAGTGAAATTTCAATCACATCTTTGTGGCCACCCTCTTGACTTTAGTATCAACCCTGTTAAATTATTTGGCGATAAAATGATCCATTCATCTATTGTGATGTAAAACAGATTAAAGGTGTACTTTCTAGAGAGCAGATTGTGGCTCAGGGCTATTGTATTTCTCTCTGCATTTGATGAGAGGGATTTGCAAGTTAGAAGCAATATACAAAGAGTGATTACAACTCGTTTACTAGGTTAAAAAACCCCAGAAAATCTGTTTGTAAACATTGCTTTCTGAAAGAACTTAAGATAATACAGGTAGTCCTTAACTTATGACAGCTCAGTGACTGTTCTAAGTTATGACAACACTGAAAAAAGTGACTTAGAGCTGGTCTTTGCACGTACAATAGTCACAGCAACCCCACAGTTACTGGATCAAAATCTCAGCTCTTGGCAACCAGCATGTATTTATGATGGTTGCAGCATCCTGGGGCCACATGATTATCATTTGCGACCTTCTCAGTTTATTTACGACAAGCAACGTCAATGGGGGAAGCCAGATTTGCAGAATGACTGCATGATTTGTTTAACAGCTGCAGTGATTTGCTTAACAACCCTGGCAAAATGATTGTAAAATCAGGCATGACGCATTTAACTGCCTTGCTTAGCAACAAAAAATTCTGATCCCAACTGTGGGCATAAGTTGAGGGCTCTTCTGTCCTGCACAGCCAAAATTTGCTTTCCAAGCAGCAGGGCTAAGAAAGGCCTTCCCACAGGATGGGAACTTATCCCCGTAGTGTTTGCACCTATTCCGAAATCAATTCTTTTCAAAGGCACTGAGATGGGGAGTGTTTTTTTGCTTACAGGCAGACAGTACATTTACCGCGGAAATGAGCTTTCATGATTCAGGCCTCAAAAGCGATGATTGTGATAGATGTAACTGATTTTTTAAAATGCATGTTGTTTACTGTGGTACTCCACACCTAGGAAGATTTTTTATTTTATGTTATGCATACTTCCAGCCAAGTCACTAAACAATGGGTGGCAGCCTTAGGAACAACATGGCACAAACTTCTGCAAATGTTGTCCCAGATTCTCCAATAAACTGCAATCTTTAAGCCCCTTTAAGGAAAAGGTGGAAGAGACAGGATCAGAAAAAGGAAAGAAGGCGAGGTTGTCGTGCATCGTTCGCTCCTTAGAGACTAAAATAGACTTTCTGAAACTTGAGCTGGCCACAAACAAGGAGTGTATATCGGAGGTGATGATCCTTTGAGAGCTGTAGGCAACAAAATTTCATTTTAATGTATGCCGATTGGTGTATATTCAAAGTGACAATAAAGTTATTATTATTATTATCTTTCATCAAAGAAGAAGGAGTTGAAAAAAATGGCAGTGCATCTTAGTGTTGCTAGAGTAAGGGTGAAAACTGTAAGTTGTAAAAAAAAAAATCAGCATCAAATGATGCTTGATGCTTGAGCAGGGTCCGCAGGATTGTCTGGGACGCTACACATCCTCTTCATGACTTGTTTTTCTTGTTACCTTCTGGGGGGGGGGGGACTTTGTGGTATCCAAAGCAGAACATCCAAATTCGGTCACAATTTTGTTACATATAACATCATCAACCTTGTGAACTCTCAAGTTTCCTTTTTCTGCTATATATTCCAAATGAACATGATTAATATTTATATGTATGGGTATGTATGTATGTATGTATGTATGTATGTATGTATGTATGTATGTATGTATGTATATTTTATCCCTTGCCTGCTTAACTCTCTCAGTCGGCAGAAGAGTATATAAGCATGCAGGCTGTATGCCCCTTTGGCTATCAACAAAGGATTTGTGGATTGGATTAAAGTTTGTGGATTGGATTGCACAAGGAAATGCAGAGAGAGAGGTTGGCTATGTCAGAAGGCAGAAGGGAAAAAAAAAACTAATCGTGGTGAAGCGTCAGTCTTGCGTCTTCAGAGTGGCAGGCTTTCCTGCCTATCTCATGCTTAATTCAGAGGTTTAAAAATAGCCTCCAGATGTTTATGATTGGACAGTCACAGAGCAGGAACTGCCTGTCTGAGCAAATAGGAATGTGAGAAAAGACACAGCAAGATAAAGGAGCAGATGCCAAAAGACAGCAGAAGAAGAAACCGGACAATTGGTGGGCAAAAGGAAATCCAGAGGGATTTGCGCAGGTTGAAGAAATAGCTCCGTGAAGTGACTAGAGGAATGTCGCACCCCATATAGGTGTGACTTGAGAGGTGTGAAGAGTTGCCAGGGAAAGTGAAGAGAGAATATTTGTGGATCGATGGGGTGCAGGAAGATGATTTCATAGAAGGAACAGGAAGAGAGGCACTGGGAAGAAAATCTGGGTGAGTCAAGGGATCCCTTCAGTGGAATCGGAAGTGCAAGAAGGTATGTTGCTTGATTGTGCATCGTGAATATATTATGTCATAGAGTGCTTATTTGATGCAGATTGTGGGACAAAGTACATGTAGGATGTGCTGGCCTGTTGACTCCAAGAAGCAGGGGGGCCTGTGGGCTGAAAAAGGTGGGGAGGAGTAAAGCAGTGGATTGGGTGTTTGAGTTCAGTGAAAAGATGGACCTTGATCCAGAACACGTATGTGTATATATATATATGTACATGAACAGCTAGAGGACAGGTCTCGCTAAGCTTGACTCATACTTTTATATCTCAGAAGGGATGAAAGTTGCTGTGAGAAATGGAACTGAGCTGGTCTTAAAGGTTCTGGATTTTGAGATGATGGGAAAGTCTTGGTTAGTTCTGCTGGGGATGAAGAGGCAATGCTGCATCATGACCAAACAGAAGCAGCTACCACAAAAGGAAGGAAAATGAAACAACTGTAAACCCCTTTTAGGTGCCTTATATCCAGTACATGAATGGGAAAGCCGGTTTAGTTTAGTGGTTAAGGAACCAGGCTAGAAACTGGGAAATGGTGAGTTCTAGTCCCACCTTAAGCATGAAAAACTGGCTGGGTGACTTTAGCAAGTCACTCACTCTGAGCCTATGACATTAGGCTTGGGTGACAGGCTGGTTGGTCAATTTCTGTTGCAACCAATAGGTCAACACAGTTAATACAAAAAACAAAAAAGAAAGCAGAACTTTTGTGGGAAAACACTCGGAAGAAAAAGAACATACAGAACATGAATAATAAGGAACAATATAGGCCAGCATATTAAATGCAAATGATTCTCTGCCTCTGATCTCAGCTGGCTTGTGGCAAAGCTGCAAATCAGGGCTACGTGAAAAGCTTCCTACAATGCAGAAGGCACTGTTCCTAAAGAGGAAACAATATATGACCACTAATTATTATTTTTTCAACCTGGAATTTTGAATGTTTTAATTCCTAGCAGGATGGTAGCTATTGTGTATTTCTTCTTTTGCCTGCCTGATTGTAAGTCTGGTTATTTTGAATGTTTTAATTCCTTGCAGGATGGTAGCTATCGTATTTATTCTTTTGCCTGCCTGAGTGTAAGTCTGGTTATTTCCTCCCATGAATCAGCAACAGCCATACAGGCCGGAGAATCTGGAACTCGGTTCTATTTGGGCTGAGGAAGGTTCGTTTGAAACAGGGATAGGAAACTTCTGACACCCTCAATACTGCTGAACTACAGGTAATCTTCAAGCGTAATTGAGCCCCATAATTACAGTCATAAATTGTGATGGCTGTAAAGTAAGTCACCACACTTCCAGGCCTGATTTTATGACGTGTGGTGGCATTTATTAAGGGAACACATTGTAAATGCTGGGTTTCTGGTAGAAAAGGTCATAAATCATGGTTACAGGACCACAGGGAGCTGCAAATGGCCATTATGCAGACTTTGTCAACTGCCCAAAATGCAGTCATGTGATTGTGGAGGGGTGGACGACATTAGAACTTCAAAACTGGGTCATAACTATCTTTTTGAAGGTCCATTGTAACTTTGAATGGTCACTAGACTGGTCAGGTCGTAAGTCGGGGACTATTTGTAAAACTCTTTTAGTATCCCTTGTCATTGGTCATACTTCCTGATGGGGCTGGGAACTGTACAGCAGACATTGCCTTCCTTTGTTCTGAGGCCAGTTATTCTGTCCATTCTGGTAGAAGACCTGGCTTCTGAGATTGGAACACGGCTGGCTTTATCAGGGCTAAATATTCACAAACATTGCCAGAGGCAGGCTCTGATGCAATATTCCATATTTCATGCTGTTCATGAAGAGATTTTTGAAACCTTGATGAATACATTCCAGGTTGCATCAATAAAGGTCATTCCATAGCAGGAGACATTTAACAGCCAATATTCATGGTGGAATTGGAGTGAACAGATACACCTGCAGGATTAAGATCAGTTTCATTGTCTCATTTCCCCCCCCCCAACTTGTAATCTATTTCAGCACAAGTATGCATTGTTGTTGTTGCTATCTGCAAATGCCAACATCCTTAACCCTTTACCCTGGTAATTGAAAAGTTGCTGAGAGTTATAATTCGGTAACATTGTTTCCTTGTGCCTAATTTATGCATTTGTTTGCATTTTTTAAATGTGCCACAAAATTTAGAGAATGAATAAGACCACAAACTTTTATTCTGGTTCAGATATAGATTTTTTTTTTTCCTTTCGTTTAATTGTGTCCGAGTCTCAGAGACTGGACAACTCTCTGCAATTTTCTTGGAAAGATTTCTCAGAAGTGGTTTGCATTGCCTCCTTCCTAGGGCTGAGAGAAAGTGACTGGCCCAAAATCACCCAGCTGGCATTGTGCCTAAGGCAGGACTGGAACTCATGTTTCCCTTTTTCTAGCTTGATGCCTTAACCATTACACCAAATGGCTCTCACATATAGAACAAATTTCTTCTAAATTTCTAGCACTAATTTTCCATCACAAAGGGCAAGTAGATGCCAGTTTGAGTTCCCCTGAAATAGCTTCCTCTGAAATTTTGGACTTGAAATCTCAGTTGGGGGAACACATATTCAATTTTAAATAGTCTTTCTTCAATATGATATGATCCACAAACAATACTTGAAAATAATACTCCCCCTCAAATTTATATACCATCTTTTTTACCTAAAAAAAATGTGTTTAAGTGTTAGAAGAGCCTTAAAGGGATTAGAATATATCAGGGTTTGATAATATAAAAACTCAAATAATTTAAATAAATAAAAATTGGCCAATTCACAACATCCTGTGTATCCAAACTCTCTGGAAAGGAGATTCTGATTTGTTTTTCCTTTTTTCCTCCTGGGCATTGTGGTGATAAACTTCTTCCTGAAATTAGGAGATATCTTAATTATGTAACCATAAGTCTTTGACTTCCCTCCCCCCCCCCACTCTCTCTATGCTTAGAAGGATTCCTTGGAAGCACTGCAATTTCAGACTGGAAGGCTGCTATATCTCTTGGTCCTTCTGTTGTCAAGAGTATTTCACAGCCAACTTAAGTAGTAGCAAATTACCTATTGGCTCTAAAAGACTGGACTGAGTGCATCTCAACAGCTTTTTGGAAAGTAGTTTTGATCTTGGAAAGATGAAGACAATCGCTTCTGCAATGGAGACTGGATTGAACGTTGACATGGAGAGCCAATTGCAACCATCTTCTGAAGAGACTTATCATTTTACAAACGTAACTGAGCTACCAGGTTTAGTGTATTGTGGGAACTCTGAAGAATTGCTCCATCAGATGACACCAGAGGAAGCATCTCGATTCTGGAAAGATGGCTCATCACTTGTGGGCACTCAAGCATTGCAACCAACAAGCAGCCAGTCATGGCCAGATGCCACGAACTGTGAAAAGCTGCAATCTAATGAAACGGATAGTCCTCTGAAGAGCTCAGAACCAGCAAGTTCATCTGAAGAGGTTGTGGCGGGTATGGATACTGTTCCTGAGGTTGTATCGCCCTTGTCCCTTCCACTGAAAAACAGATGGATGCTTCAACTCCACCTAGAGGATGACATTGAAGATTACTTGGAGGGATTTGAGTCCGTGGCCTACACCAACCGCTGGCCCAGGGCAGAGTGGGTTACTAAACTGAAGCCATATCTGAGCCGCAAAGCTCTTTTGGCTTGCAGCATCTTGGAACCCAATCTTGCTAATGACTACGACATGGTCAAAGAGCGCATCCTGCAGCAATATGGCATCACGACAGAAATGCAACACCAGTGCTTCAGGCAGTTCCGATACCAGGAAGCCAAAGGCCCCCGAGAAACCTGCCAAATTCTCCAGGTCCTTGGACAGCGCTGGTTGAAGCCGGAAAGGCACACCAAAGAACAGATTTTGGAGTTACTAATACTGGAGCAGTTTCTAACCATCCTGCCCCCAGAAATACAAGACTGGGTCCAAGGATGCTGTCCAGAGACTTGTGCTCAGGCTGTGGATCTCATTGAAAGTTTTCAGCTGGGAAATGAGGTGAGAGGGACGTAAGTGCTGGAAAAGGAATTTGATATAGGAACATGCTGAGTTTAGTTATACAGGTAGTCCTCGAGTTACAATCATAATTGAGCCTGGGAATTACGGTCTTAAGTTGTGATGGGGCATGACCAAATTTGATTTTAAGACCTTTTTTGTGGTGGTTTTTAAGTGAACCTGCTGTTCACTATGGATAAATGTGAAGTGCTGGTTTCCAAGGAAGCTGCCAATAGCTCTAAAAGGGTCCTAGTTGCTGAGCGCCCAAAATGCAGTCACACGACTGTGGGAGGGGAGACATCAACATGTTGAAATTAGTTTATAAATAGCTTCATAATTTCAAATGGTTGCTAAGCAACAGATCGTAAGTTAAGGACTACCTGTATCAATATGCGAAATGAATGGATGCAAAGCTGGGTTGGGAAACTTAAGCAAGCTGGGTTGGATTATCTGGCTGTTAGAACTATTTTAATTTCCACCAAACCACATTAATTGACTCTCTTGAATATAGTGGCAGCGGTGCCTTGTTTATTTTCAGGTATACCCTATCTGGGCTGTAAAAATCCAGACAGCCATTAGATACCAGCAATGAGATCCACAAAAATCTGGCTGCCATCTAGTAGTTGCCTGGATTTTGCAGCCTGGATATGGTAAATCTCACCTATGTCAGGTTTCCCTAGTTAATTTGGTTCACTACATAAATTAGGGGGATGAAGATCAGGTGGAGGTATCTGATGTGGCTTTGCAAAGAGAAATAGGAACTATATGATGGTTTTGAACCACTAATGATATGCACTTTATTCTTGTCATTAACCAATTGTCAGCATTCTAACTTAAGTCTGCATCTGGGGCTTTTCCATACAAAAAAATGTGTAGCTTCTCTTTCTCTTTGCAAAACCACAGCAGTTGCCTCAATCTGATGTGCAGGCAATCAGGTTCAGATTCTTGCCTCTAAGACAGGTGTCTTCAAACTTGGCAACTTTAAGACTTGTGGACTTCAACTCCCAGAATTCCTCAGCCAGCCACAAGTCTTAAAGTTGCCAAGTTTGAAGACCTGAAGTCATTCGAGATGCTTGAAGAAAAGTCACAACTTGTATTGTAGCTTTCAGTAAAAACCATGTACACAGCATCTTTCCTAAGGGTGTCCTTCAAATGTGTTCAAATAAAGCTTCCAAACTTTTAGTGATTGACAATTCAACTAGATGGCACCAGATGAGGAATCAATGGTTTATCTGTGTGTAGTTTAATGCATGCAGGAAATAAATGTATTTTATTTATTTATATATCATATTTTAAAATCACCTATTTCCCTCATAGAACGACCCTGGGTAGTGAAATTGTTTCTTTTACATTCCTTGTAACATTTTGAAATGGGTGAAGTGGTTATGGGAGCTGGAAATACTTGTCAGGCCTAAGATGACACAATGAAATTCAATCGAATCCAGTTTTTTAGTTCAATATAAAAGATATTGTTTTACCTAATAGAAAGATATTGACACTGTTACACCTGATAGACAGAATCTTGCCAGACTAAAGCTATATCTTTTTAGCCTAATAGACAGACTGTATCATTTCTTTTTTCATAGTTTATTCTATTGTTCCATTACTTTACTACAGTTGTGTTTATGCTTCTTTTCATTTCTCTGTTTGTATTGTTGTAAGCTGCCTAGAGTAGCCCCACAGAGAAATATGCAGCAAACAAATTTAAATGAATAAATATAGCCTGGGAGATTCTAGAGCAGGGGTGTCCAACCTTGACAACTGTTGAGACTTGTGGACTTCCCACCATGGGGAATTCTAGGAGCTGAGGTCCACTAGGGTCTTTTTTATATAAATATTTTATTAATTTTCTAGTTTTACAATCAAATACTTAATAGATAATGTGTTGTCTGAGCCCATTAGTAATTCAGTGGTATATATTAACCTTCAGTCTAGATCCAATATTACACCATCAAATATTTCCTCTCTTCTTACGGTAGTACCTGTTTTCCCACACTAGGCAAATACAATTCTTATTGTTATTAATAAATATACAATTGAATATCAACATCTTTGTTACATGTTTCTCATAATATCAATAATATCAGTTTTAGATTACTTTTTTAACCAAAACATATCCATATGTTCAATCAGTATTCTGTTTTTGCTTTTTTTTAATTTTAATTTCCCATCAATGTTCAAAATGTCTCTATTGTTTATAATTTCAAAGTAAGTTATATTTGGGTAACCAAAAGCTTCCCTTATCCAGACTTCTTAACGTTTTCCTATTTACCTTCTTATACCAAAAATCTAATATTCTAGTCACACATCTTATCTTTCTAGTTATGATAGTACAGTACTTCTATTTCTAGCAATTATCTATTCTCCACCATATTCAAACATTTAATTAATAATATAATATCCCATCTAATGGATCAAAACCTCTATTTTCTCCAGTCTTACTCTAGCTTTCTTCCTTTGCCAACTAACTTTCCAAGTAATTGCATTTGAATCATCAAGTAATTTTTTCTCTTTTTTTGTGTATATTGTTTGGAATAATAAAGACCATTTGGTTAAAGTATTTTTGGAAGAACGAACCCATTGATATTAATTAAATAGCCTCCCTCCTTCTCCAATTCTCCACAGTTCTGCTAACAGCTCTATCTTCCATTCAGTCTGTTCTTCTTCCTTTTCCTTGAATATGTCCTGAATTCTTGATTGGTAAGATGTCTTTTCCATTTCCAATATTATCGCTGCGTCTTCTAGTTCTTCAGCTGTCTGAATCTGTTGGTTGGTTCCTTCCTTTAAGTTCTCAACCTTTGGATCTGCTTCCTCTAGTTTTCCTTCTATTTTCTGCTAATTCCTTCTTTGTAGTCATGTTCTGGGTTTGTAAATTTAGATTAGAAAATTGTTCTTTTATCTCCTTTGTCTTATTTCTAGTCTCATCACATTTCTAGTCTCATTAACATGGAGAGAATTTCTTTCTGATCTTCATCCATATTTTCTTGGTAGTATGTCAAACTGAAGACTTTGGGAACAAGTGTTAGAGATGGTTTTTTACCATTTAAAGTTGAGTATGGGACATCCATTTCATTTTTTGTAGGTGGTCTTTATAACACAAAATTGTTCATCAATCAAGGATTTGTAATCCAAAATATTCCATCATCTCAAGCAATGAAGTGTATTTCTCCTGCAGGGAAATAGTTCCAAAACACAGTTCTAAAAGTCAGGTTTGGAGGGCTTCCTCAGATCAAATGGAAGGGCTGCCGCCCTCCTGCAATCAATAAGGGTCCCCTCCTTGTTTGTCGGCTCTAGGGGGCGACTTTTGACCTTTTCCAGGGTCCCCAGCGGGGCGAAATCGAACGTGAAATATGGAGCCCCATCTTCCTGCGTCCATTCCGCCACGATGTCAAAACCAGAATCCAGATCCACTAGGTCTTAAGGTTGCCAAGGTAGGACACCCCTGTTCTAGGGTGTGGCTATCCTGATCTCTCCCCCCCCCCATCCTCATCCAATTCAGCACTGTGCAATTTCTTGTGTTGGGCCTCTCTCTGGAATGAGAATAGGAAGCTGTGGTGCTACTGCTGACATCCCCTCACCCCACCTCTTCTTCAGTTTCATATCCCATCACAGTACTGGAGTTAGAGTCAAAGTAAAATAGGAACATCATACGAATTCCATAGTGTTGGAAGAAATTTAATTCAGAAATTAAATTTATTCCTGCGCTGCCTCTATCTTTTTTTTTAATCATTAGCACAACCCACAAGTAACGGGAACTAGAAAATGATGTGGCAAACAAAGTCAATACAAAGTTGCAAATATCACTAAACCATTTCCTCCATCGATAATTAATGACCGGGCTAAGTCAATTAACCTGCATAAATAATAGCGGACAAGGAAAGTCCTTTCTCAATACAATTTCCCTGGGTACACAGAGGTGGTGCCCAAAGTCAGCACATAGAAACATATCAAAGAAAAGATCTGTAAACTTAATAAAAGTACAGTAAAATGTTTCGCCTCCAGAGCTGCACATCCACCAAATTAAACATTATAAAGAACACATTCACACATATCTCACAAAGGACCACCTTTCCTATAAACATTACCAACCACTGTACCCAAAACTGTAGTCTCCCTTTGAGTGCTGTCTTTTATGCTCTCGAATAAAATCACCTCCTTTCCAAGCAGTCTGTCCAGCATCATTCTTGCAAAATCCCAGCTCAGAACGGAATCCCTCTTTCTTCTAAAAATTGTTACGCTGAGCGCGCTCACTGAAGGGATTTGAGTGTGCGTGAAAGCTTTCCAACCGATATATTTGGGGATTAATCTGTTGGGAGTTTTATTTTATTTTTTTCCTCATCTGATTTCTGAATGTGTCTCTTTCATCCCCTTTCTCCACAACCCAAAAGCCACCAGTGCCATTCAAAGACATTGATGTGAGGTTTTCCAGTGAAGAGCAGGCCTTGCTAACTGAAGAGCAACGAGCACTGTACGATGATGTCACGATGGAGAATTTTCGGAATGTGTCCATTCTGGGTGAGGATTGGCCAGTTTTCTTCAGCCCTGCTTGTTTCCATGGCAACTCAGGAATAATGCTTTTCAAATCCCATGATAAATCTAGCTTCTAATGCTTCTGATCAAGGACCCAAATGACCGGAGAAGGGATTAATGGCCCACAACATTTGGAGGACATCTGTCCTGGAATACTAAGTTAGCCGAACCCTGGAAGTCTTGGGGAAATGATGGTTGTCTCCTCTACAGCATAGTGTGGTTGTCTGAACCTTCTAATGCTCTGTAAAGGTATTTATTTGGTTCAGATAGTGCCATCCATTCAGGAGTTCAAGGTGGTATATATAGATACTCAATTTATGGTGACTATTGGAACCAGAACGTCTGTTGCAAAACAAAGCAGTTGTTAAGTGAGTCATGCCCAGTTTTACAACCTGTTTTCTCACAGTTGTTAAGCAAATAACCGCAGTTAAATGAATCATGGTGTCATTATGATGAATCTGACTTCCCATATTGACTACTTTACCTGTTGGAAGTGGCTGGGAAGGTCGCAAACGGTCAGGATCATGCAATCCCAGAATGTTGCAACTGTCATAAATATATGGCAAGTGCCCAAATTTTTGATCTCATGACCTTGGGGATGCTGCGACAGTTGTAATTGTGAGAATTGGTCATAAATCACTTTTTTCAATACCGATGTAATTTCAAAGTCGCTAAACAAATAGTTGTAAGTCGAAGATTACCTATACGTAGCAATCCCTCCTGCTATTTCTCCCCAAAGCAACCCTGGAAGTTAGAGGGTGACTGACCCAAAGTCATCTAGTGAGCTTCTGGGGCTGAAGCTGGGCTTGAACTGTATCTGCCTGCCCCTATTTCACAATCTTCACAACTATGCTATCTTTGTGGGTTGTACAGGTAATCCTCGACTTACGACCACAATTGAACCCAAAATTTCTATTGTTAAATGAGACATTTGTTAAGTGAGTTTTGCCCCCACTTTACGATCTTTCTTGCCACTGCTAAGGGAATCACTGCAGTTAATAAGTTAGTAATCCAGTTGTTAAGTCAATCCGGCTTCCCCATTGGCTTTGCCTGTCGGAAGGTTGCAAAAGGTGGTCACATGACCTTGGGACACAGGAATGGCCATAAATACGAACCAGTTGCCAAGCATCTGAATTTTGATCACGTGACCATGGGGATGCTGCAAAGGTCGTAACTGTGAAAAACGGTCATAAGTCACATTTTTCAGTACTGTTGTAACTTTGAGTGAACTGTTATAAGTCGAGGATTCCCGTACAGGTTAATAAGAGACATTCAAGGGAAAGAGCATAGGACTGACCTTGGTGCCTCCTTATTTATCTCTTGCTCTGGTTCTGATCTAGATCAACTCTCCCTTCCCCACCCTGCTCTTAATGCTTAAACCAATGTGGTGCCTCTTTGTGTTTGACCTGACTTTCAGGATTTTTCACTGAGAAATTGGGAAGCCATAAATCTTTGGTTATGCTCTGCTTCTTTCTCTTGGGCAGGAATTCCACTGGAGAAACCCGAGATAATCACCCGGATACAGCAAGGAAGAGAACTGTATTTTCAGAATAATACCATAAATTCTCCAAAAGATCGATTTATAGGTAAGGAAGAAGACTGAACGGGGAGTTTAGTTAAGATCCACTTAACCTGTTGCCTAATTCTTTATAGCCTAATTTTTATAATACACACATCTACATATAGACATCCATACTAAATAAGTCCTGTTTCTTCTGCTATTAGCAGCAGGAATTATGATTTAAATTAATTGGGGCGGGAGGCTATGTGTGTGCAAATTTTCCAGGGATGTCTGCAGAAGAGGGTCAGAAAAGGGGTGAGACTTCAATAGCACAGACAAGGATGCCATCTGAGTGATTTTGACCTACTGTTACTTAGGAAGCTATCTATGTACTTAGGGGTAAGCAACCCACTGGATGGAGCCCCCAGACCCAATTTGCAGCCCCAAGAACATATCCAGATTACACTCCCAGAATTTAACAACAAAACTTGCACCATTTTCTACTTTCTCATTCCTGAAGAGACAGAGTAGACGTGGTAGACTTCCTCAGGATCTAACACATTTTTAACCTTTTAAAAAAAGCCATTTTTTCTTCCCCTTCTCCATCTAGCCAACCCAATGTCATCAGCTTTCAGAGAACACCTCCCAAAGAAAAAAGAGGAAAAGTATGCCCTATGTTATTTTTCTTTGAATCAGAGCAAAGCCTACCATAGCAATATCCAGTTTGGGAATCAAGAGAGAGCTTTCCTTCCTTAAACCTATTTCCCAGTTAAATAATGGGGCTGGGGGGAGGGAGATAAACTCTTCAGTTTCCTTCAGAAGCGACTGCTTTTACTTCTTTCCGTTGCAGGAAACCAACTGTCACCAACTCTTATCCAAGGGGCGGAAAAACGTTCTTTAAAGAGAGCCACAAAGACAGTTAAAATACAAGCCATCGCAATGGAAGTACCTCAGGACAGTGTGAGTCTGGGGGAAACACCTGTCAAAGAGTCATCTTCTAACTCTATCAAAGAGGCTGCCACATCAGTCCCCCCAACTAGTACCCTCCCCCTAAAAAAGCCATTGATTTCCCCAAAGCAGAAATCTTCCAAAAAAAAGAAGCATCAGTCACTCACAAGAGAAAAGTTGGCTTCCACAAAAGGTAGGCCTCAATCATTATTGCTGCAGAAAACATCTAGAAAACAGGAATCAGGAAGCCAAATTTTGACTGCCAAGGCTGGCAAACAAAAGAAGACTCTGGCTCCTCAAGGTGCTAGGCCATCACAGCTAAAGAAGCCAACTGCATCAGTAGGGGAGCACTCCAAACAGAAGAAAAAATCTGAGGTTCTGAACAAACCACCCATGCTGAACAAGGAAACCCAGTTGTGTGAAAAGATTGTCCAGGAGAAAGATCATCAGCAGGCATTTCTGGAAGTAAAAGTCCACGAAGCCCCTCTCCCGGTCACCACGTGGAATCCTCCTTTCAGTGCCACTGTGGTCTCCGATCTCACGTGCCCGGATTGCGGACGGTCCTTCAAGCAGAGGTTTGACCTGCGCCAACACCGATATGTTCATACCCGGGAGAAGCCATATGCCTGCACATTGTGTGAAAAGTCTTTCAGGCATCCGAGCAACTTACATATCCATTTGCGGACGCATAGCGGGGAACGACCCTATCAGTGTCCCGAATGCGGGAAAGCTTTTTCCCAAAGTTGCAACCTTCGGACTCATCTCAAGATCCATACAGGTAACAAGCCGTACAAGTGCTTTGTCTGTGGCAAGTCCTTCTGCCATAGCTCCAATCTCACCATCCATCAGCGAGTGCACACTGGAGAACGGCCTTATCCTTGCTCGGTCTGCTCCAAGCGTTTCAGTGACAGGTCCACCCTGGTGCAGCATGAAAGGACCCATACCGGCGAGAAGCCCTATCCTTGTTCAGTCTGTGGACAGAGGTTCAGCCAGATATCTCACCTCATGAAGCATGGCCGCATGCATCCAGATACCGCTGACCCAGCAGGGCCCACTGAAGACCCATCTTCCAACACTTCCGAGGAGGTCTTTATGCCACCTGATGGACAAGCCTCTTTCCGAATGAAGGGTGAAAATCCACCCTCATCGGGTGAGAATCTTGCCTGGATTTCAAAAACATGGGCTTCTTCTTCCAAGGCTAACGGTCAGCAGAATTGCACCGCTACATAGAGGTGGCTGGGCATCCTGGGAAGCCAAAAGAGAAACCAAGGCTTGCGATGGGCAAAAGAAATGGCTGGCAGAGAAATAGTAACAGAAAACATAGGAAGGGATGAGAGACTTGTTAAGGCTGCAGGCCTCCCTTGCAATCGATTGTAAATTGCTAGGCTTCATTATCACATTCAGAGGAGCATCTGAAAAAAAAAATAGTCTGGGTATGGTATACAGTTTATAAAAAAAACCCCAAATATTTTCACAACGTTCTTTTTCTTTAGCATTTTTTCTTTTAAAACAAATATTTCTCATTCCTAAATATTTGACTAGCCTTTTTTGCTGCCATCATCTCCAGGGATTAACACTGCATGTGGAAACAGACAACAGGTGGAAAACTCAAGGCATCGTTGCTCCCTTAGTTATTATCACAAAAACGGCAAGAAAAAGCTTCTTGTAAGATGTAAGGAAAGTGCATTGTGTTTGCAAACCAGTAATATTCAGTAGCTGCTCCTGAGTTAGAGCAAATGAGAAAAAGAAATGAGGAGAGAGACTCGTGGAGTCAAAGAAGAGCTACCTGAAGACAGAGCCAAGATACTTTTGATACCTGTTAAAGGTTTTGTAAAGCCAGCATATTTTTTATTTTTCCTACCTCTGGAATTGCAGGGCATCTTCTACACCAGGATTTCCCAACCTTGACAAGTTCAAGACACATAGACTTCAACTTTCAAAATTTCCCAGACAGACAGACAGAGACAATGTTATTTAAAAAAAATTAGTCCAAATACTAATTAAATTTAAAGATTAAAACTAACAACTTGGCTGGTTTTTTTATGGTCAAATAAATATTTATTTTTTAAATGTGTCCTTGGGAGAATATCCTCCATTGCATAGTACACTATAGAAATTCCTCTCTCCTCTTGTGGACTCGAACCGGGAGATGGGCAATCAAATCCCCCTCCATTGAACAGACTGTGGCTTTAATCTGTCTTGTTCCTTGCAGAACTTATTAATTTATTTCACAAATATACAAGGGCCAAATCCCTTATTTTAAGTTATGTTCAACCCATTGTAAGGTTTTCCACTTAGCCTCACAACTGCCCCAGCATTACTCAGGAATTTAAAAGAGCCAAAGAAACTCCTGAGTCGAGGTTTCAGCAAGCAAACAACTTTTATTTTGATCAAAATAGAGTTGGGTGACCCCCATCTCTCTTCGTGGCTGGTAGAGAGATGAAGGCAACAACCAGAAAAGATGTCTTCCACCTTTTATACCTTTCCAGAACAAAAAGATCAGGTCTTGGTACTAGGCATAAGATGGCACAAAAAAATAATTCCTAGATGATGACTCATACACAGCAACCCAGGCTCTATCCGTAGCTCCTTTCCCCCCTCCCCTTACTGTGCTCTTTTCATATAAGCAATCACCTGTACCTAAAGCATGAAGCCCTTACTTTTCCAATATATATATATATAAAGCATCTGATCAAGCAATTAACTACAAAATAATGATTACAAAATAACAAAACAATGATTACATGATAACGTTATAAGTATCAATATAAAATGGTTACTATATGTAAAATAAATGCTAATGTCAAACTTAAACATACTAAAATCATAAGCACAATAAAATCCCTTCACTCCTCCCTTTTTAATATAAAAGCCGAATAGGCTTAGGGACTCTTAAAGAGGGGAATATAGTCAGAAGGGAAAGGTTGCAAAATCATTGCTTTAGTTGGTGTATCGTTATAGATAGGAGTGGCAATAAAAGTTGGTCCGAATACAGTAGACCTAACAATTCTCTAAATAAGAGGGATAAGGCATGATAAACACAACAACCCTCCTAAGACCAAAACCACAATGAACAATATCCATTTCCAAGTATCAAACATTCCCAAAAACCATCCTCCAACATCCAGTGCTCCTGTCCATGTCTGGGCAGGGACATGAGCAAACTCTCGCATATATTTTAATTTGGCTTTTAAATATTTATTGTATAGCTCTGTTTTTATTTACCTGTAAGCCGCCCTGAGTCCCTCGGGAGAAGGGCGGGGTATAAATTAAAGTAATAATAATAATAATAATAATAATAATAATAATACTGTCAGTGACTTCTTTGACATATTCCTTATGTGTAATGTCAGATGGGGTCTAATAATACAATTTAGGGCCACAAAGACAAATAGAGGGCCGATTTGGTTGGATGGTCCTTTCCAAGTCAAATTAAAATAAGAAGTGATGTTCTCTCAAGCTTCACATTTAAAAATGAAACAATTCTTTAGGGCCAGATCAATAATAATAATAAAAAAAGAGTCTTTGATACTGAGGGAATCTCAGTTGTGGTTTCCAGTTCATGAAAATCAACTTGAACCCATATTTGTATCTGGTTCAATTGATAGCGAGTTCAAATGATGCTGAAAAATCCGTTGGTCTGGTTATTGTGAAGCACACCAGGTTGCAGGAATCCTTCGAATGTGCCAGGTTGGGTAGGATGTGCAAACATATTTGGCATTTAATGTGCAGGCCTGTCTCCATACTTAGTCCATTTAGCTTGATCATAGGCAATAGCTTTACATGCATCAAAGAAGATTCTGGCACTTGTCCATAAATCTCGTGTTATTCTTCCCCAAAAGGTAATGTCTGTATGTTCTTCCATATGTCCAGA